TCAGAAATTGGTTCAAATTAAGCATTACGTCTTTCAGAATTTAATAATACATTAATACTCAATAAGGATGTATTTTACAAAGGAGAAAGAATTAATGTAATAAATGTAAACTAGGTTCTGCGAACTTGACGAGAAAAGGAAGGTATTATAACTTCGGATATCGACTTAGAAGTTTTTAAGCTATTTTCCTCTCTAGGGATGGAAATAAGAAATTCTAGATCTCTTATTTTCATATCCTGCGTATCAAATTAAAAATATAAACCAAACTAATTATTAAAAACTAGAAAAAAAGTCAAGCAAATACAAATAGTTTTTAAATATTATCCCAGGAAAGCTCTCAATCTTAGTAATCACTATTATCCCTTTGAAATGAACGAAATCTTAGCATAAACCTTGTTAAATGCAGTGATTTTATGTTCCTGAAGAAAGAGTGAACTTCTTACGGGAATAGGCTTAATAGTAATTGTTCTGCTCGAATTCTGATAATAGCGTGAAAAATGTAGAATTGGACCGAATTAATTTTATGTCAAAACTCACAGAGACTATCAAATTAAAAATGAGAGATAGCGTCATGAGAAACTTGCGTGTGCTTCCTTCATACATTAATTCAAAGCAAAGCGTCCATGGATTATTTGCATAGTTTTATCCCAGTTTTGACTAAGAGCATCACGACAGCTGGAATTCAGGAGGTTTTGTACCCTTCCTTCCCTGATAGAACATTTTCCTTACTGTAAAAGCATAAAACTAGAACTTATGTGCCATAAAAGGCTGTAGTGCAACACAGCAAATGACTGTAGCCCAACTCAGCCGAAAAGAGCACAGATATAAGGGTCCACGCGGGTGCTGTGAGCTTTTCGGTCTTCTTTTTCTTGCGGCAACACTATCAAAAAATAGATATATTAAATTAATACATAAATTGATGAATTTTCTCAAAATTTTACTTATTCATGAAAATTCTATAATCTCATTTATGGATTGCGCTGTTTATCAGAAAGCATTCAAGATTTATCTCTGTTAAAAGGAGTGATTTCGTGAAAGGCTTTCATGAAAGAAAGCTAATGGTAAAAGAAAGAAAGCTAAGCTAAAGAAAGCTAAACCTTCAGAAAACCACGAAAACTTCACACCTAGGCTCAATCGAACTGAGGATAAACTGCAAATATCAATGTAAATTAAAATAATGTAGTCATCTTTGGAATAACCTAATGGCATAACAAAAAAACTCTGCAAATACAAAAAAAAATTTTTTTTTAATGAGAGCTGCTTCTCAATTCCAAGACGAACCAGCCAGGTACAAATATGAAATTCGTACAAAATTATTCGTGTATTCACATTTGGAAAAGGTACCTGATTCATTCCATCCTGTAAGAGTTGGATTCATAAATGCACTTATTGATTTAATTTATTCTTCGCCAGTTTAAGATTAATTTCATATATTTGTGCATTTGTCGGTTTAGAAACAGGACTTTTTCTTTTACCTTTTTTTTTACACTGACCTCCTGCTAAGGATGCACAGTCCTTTTAATTTGCCTTTATTATTTCTTCACTTATCGAGTGTGTGGTAATTTTTCACGATTTTATATTTTCACAACGTTGGCTTGTCTGTGAATTCTGGTACAACTTTCATTTTTTAATTAATTTTTGCATTGTGCCTTTGTATTATTCTAGAATTGAACATATGCTATTTGAATTTGCTTTGGTTATGTTTTGAATTATATATATATAACGTTGCCAAAATACATCGTGAAGTAGTCCAAAAGTCTGCTTGATTTTAAAGAAATGATTTAGATATTTAAATTATGTTTTTATTTTCTGAGTTTATTCTGGTTATATGTTACTTTTGTTATTCTGATCATGCAATTGTTCTTTTATTAGCCTTTTAATGGGAATTTCAGTCACTTCCGTGGAAGAGTTTCTGATTTCGCGCCACGCCGTTGCTTTAAGCCCATCTTACTATGTTCTGCTGTAATCTTACCTACCTGTTAGTATTCGCCGGTGAGGTTTAACTATGGGCCAACTCGGTTAATTTTTTTCTGTACAGTTTCCGGTAAATTTTAGTCAAAATTAGTTTAGTTCCTCATTTTCTATTAGTTTAGTTCTCATTTCAGCTTTAACTTGAAGTTAAAGCCCAAGTGGAGGCTTTCCTCTAAGTCCGAGAAGGGCAGACTGTATTATTTCTTTGAGTGAGTAAAAGGGCATTTAAAACCTTCTTTGGACTCATCCTCATAGTTGTAAGAAGATCAGAGAAATCAAGAAAGTTGTGTTCATTGGCGGCCATAAACTTTTCCAGCTTCTCATTTCATATGCGTATAGCGCGCTTACCCTTGTCTCATTGGGGTCGAAATTTTAATCGTTTGCAAATCTCTTACCAGACTACATTTCTGCTGAGTTTCGTGATCGTGGTTCGGTATCTTCTAGGTGCATATATATTTTTTATGACAGAGTGTATTACTATTTTCTGCTTCAATGGATGTTGAATTATCTGAAGCGATATTATGCGTTAAATTTTTTGTCATAATTAAGTTAAATAAAATTTTTTCTCTGCAACGAATGGTTACATTTGTCAGTATATCAGCCTTGTCAGTAATTAAAATATTTGTCAGAAATCAGCATAACTGTAAAAATTTAATGAAGTGTATAACTAAGGTATAAGAAATTTGCTCATTTCTCATCCACAACCAATAAACGAGAATGTTCTTTTTCAAACAGAAGAGCATCATGCGCAAGAAGGTAACAGTGCAAATATAAAGCGAATATTACGACCAAGAAGTTGCTGCAAAAGACTTAAGCTATTACATCAGTTACCCTAACGTTTGCGAAAAATGCAACACCATAAAGGAATTGTCAGAAATGAACGAAATTTATTCTACTTATTACTGATAGTGGTAAGTGGTACAAATAAACGACCAAATTTACAAGATAAAAAAAAGAACGTTAGAAATCAGTACTTTGTACGTCCGCCACCCTGAGTGATGAGAGCCAGTACAGGTTGTGGCATTAAATCATACAGGTTCTGACTGTAATCCTGGGAAATGGCATTCTATATGGCTTCGACTTGACACTAAAGTTCAATCTTAGTGTGTGCCCCACCAGCTGTACGATCCAGTCACTGACGAAATATGCTCAATCAGCGACATATCCGGAGAATAAGAAGGCTGTGGAAGAAGCGAAACCTGTTTTATCCTAAAGAAGGCTTGTGCAATCTAAGAAACATATGCACGAGCATTATCCTGCTGAAATACAGCTCCCAGAATGCGTCGAAGAATGGGAAGGGCCTCTGGCTCTACAAATTCTCTTATGTAGCGTTCACTAGCGAGATTGCCCGCAATTGGCACTAGCTGGATCTACAATTATACTCAATAGCTTTCCACACCATGGACCAGGCGTATGCGCGGTATGACGCAGAATAATCGACTGTGGGAGCAGTCGTTTGCCTCTGTAACGTCTGACGCGTACTCTTCCATCATTGTACTCCAGATTATAGTGAGATGCATCGGAGAAAACAACTTGTTGCCACAAGTACGCACGCATTGTGTTGCCGTGCCCATTGAAGTCGGAAGCGTCTGTGATTCAGCGACAGGGGAATCCTGCGTAGAAAAACCCTTGCACGCAATTCATGCTGCAGAAGACGACGATGAACCATGGAGCTAGATAACACAACAACTGTAGCCGTACTCCAACGTTGTGCTAACATACGAGAGGACGCTGTACGATCCGTCACAGCCATGCGGATTAGGTGTATGTGGTCCTGCGCTGTTGAGCTATTGCGTGCCCTATTGCCAGGATTTCCCTTTGTTTTGTTCTCATCTGTCCATTTCTTCCAAACAAGCATCATTGTTGTGGCATTATGCTGCGTGCGGGCTGCGATCGCTCGATACGGAAGTCCGCCTTCTTGCATTCCGACGATGCAGCATCATTCGAACTCCGTTAGTTGTTGGTATGGCACCCTCTGCTGTTCACGAGGTATATTGGCCACTAATTAAGCGTTCATCCCAGACACAGGAGGATAAACAGATTTCAGTGCAACTTTACTCTCCTTTATATACATGGAACAAGCGGCTGCTTCTCATTCCACACATTCGTAATCGTTTCGTAATTCTAATTCTTTGCATGTCTTACTCATCGCCAGATTATAACTTTACGTTTCCTGTAAATTTGGCTGAATTTGCATAATTCCTTCACATTGTTGCAATTTTCACAAACATTAGTGCATAATGATGATTATAAGAAACTAACTTTTTTGATATGCAGATAAATGAATATAGAATGGAAAGAAGCCTGAGATTCGTCAAAATCGTTTAAAACAATTGCCAGTTATCACAAATTAGAGGAAAACAAGATGGAAAAATCCAGCAATCTTCAAACATCTGCTTTTAATTTTTTTTTTTTTTTTTTTTTTTTTTTTTTTAAATAAGTTAGGCATTGAATAAGTAATTACAGCAGTTGACTTTCATTACTGTTGGGGATTTTGTACGCTAATATTGCTCATATTTAGTTTTCAAGTTTATGCTAATTTATAATTCTGCTGCCTATTACATTCATTTTACATGGCTTCACTTAGAACGTATTAATTATTGGATTAATCAATCACGTGAAGGTAAGATTCCAGTGCAACAAAGTAAAATCATTAATTCCATGAGAAAACAGATTAAAAGTGCTCTCTTATGAGACTCATTTTAGCTTATTGTAAAATAAATTCCCTCTAGGGATGGAATCAAAAAAATATAGTATAAGCATTTCTATTAAAAACTTAAATTCTCTTACATTCATCTTTTGCCATAGAGGCCATCAAACTCTCAAAAGAAGGATGTTTGACAGAAAATAAATACAACTTTATTCAAATTTCCTAGAGGAAATAATATCGCTTTGCTTCTTTCAAAAAGCTAATTTTTTATCGAGTTCCGCTGATTCAATTACCACAAATATTTAAAAGTTAACAGTTCAGTTTTTTAATTGCACTAACACTTATTTTTGTTTGATGCATAATTTTGTTTCATTTCCAGCTCAGAGCACTGCAGAAGTATGCGAATTTATTTAAGAGGATGATGATTTTGAATATCAGCAAACAGCAGTTAACTGGAAGGAAGATGTCTTCTTGAAGTTATGATAGCAGCAGTCAAGGTACCATAGCAATCAGATATAATGTAATAATTATAAGTTAATCTGTATGTCGAGCAGTAAGCGAGTTTATTTTATTAATTATAAAAGTATCTAAATTTCATCTCTTCTGCTAAGAATGCAAATACTGTGAAACATTGCCCACTTTTCTACTTGTTATGTAATAGTTGTATTTTGTAAGCTGCAGGCAAACGCAGTAGCATTTTCACTGTAAATTAATTTTAGTTGCTGTACCAAGAATAGATACCAGTAAATGATTTAATTTCAAGTAATTTCTTTTGTGTTATTTTAGATAAGGTTATAAATTGCCACTGACAGCTAAGCTAAAATAATAAATAAGAACGGTAAAGATCTAGAGGAGAATAGAGAAAATTCTAGTTTAATTATTTTAACTTTGTTGTCAGCTGTGACTTGGTTGATCAACTTCACAGCACATCCTTTTTGCATTTCATACATTTCATCCCGAAAGAAGAATGATTTTAATGCGATTTAGCAATAGAGGATTTAACCCTTTCAAGGTAATAATGTTCTAGAAAAGTCTCCTGCCATCTAAAACATCATTAATCGATGAACTTCCTTCTTTGACAAGAGGGAGGTGTGTCTTAGCGAAAGCTTATGACCTTCTTACACAATCATTTCGAAATTTCGAATGTTTCCTATCGGTATTTTACGCACGAAGTTGCGATAGCGTAACATAACGTTAACGCGCGATTTCAAATGAATGTTATCAGTCCCCCCTTCTTATGTTTTGCTCAAAATACTGGAATGCTGCCAACCAAAAAAGAAATGTAAACACTGCTGATGTTGCAGATTTCTTAAACAACGTTTTAAATACTGCAAATAAAAATTATTTTTCATTATAACGAATATTTCATTATAACCAATGCTGTTTTCTACATGAAAATTGTAGTAAATAGCAAAGCATGCTTCCATCACTTAATAAGCAATTGACTTTCGAAATGGTATTTTTAAACTACACTCAACTAAGAACAGAGCTGTCTTCGTGGAGGACTTTTCAAAGGAACTGATTTATATTAACATTACAGATCGGAAAAGGATGAAAAACTCTAGGCAGCCCACCCATTTGCCAGGAGATGAACCCAGACCTAGTTACCAACTTCAAGCGACTCTACTAATCTGCTGCTGGTAGATTCCTTCGTTTAACTTGTTTAAAAAGACTTCGCTATTCTGCTGTATCTAAATAAAGAGTCATGTATAGTAGGTAAAATGAGGTTTTTATATTTTGCATAAGTTATCAAGAATGAATGACTAGGTAACGCATTTATAAAAAATGAAAATTAAAAAATAATAATAATAGGACTCTGTTCAGTGATAATCAAAACTAATGTCAAAAGGGTCTACCAGTTTTGAACTAAATCTCAAATTTCTGTCTTTCAATTTCGCAATTAGTTTCATTTTGCCTATTCTTGCCTCAGGAAGGAAAGAACAAGTAGCGTAGAGGCACGCGCTCGCACACACTCACACATACACACACACACACCTACTTCTACTAAATTATTAATTTAAGCTTTTACGTTTTTGGTGTATATCTCTTTGTGTGTGGATTTCTTACATTTTTTTAATTATCTTACTTTTTATCTTAATTAAAATTTGTTTTTTCTTAGCTCTTTTTATAATCATCCAGATGTCATTCATAAACGCGGCTTTGTTGAAAATTTCTCGGCTGCACCTTGAGAAAGACCAAAGAATTTTTAACTACTTTTCACATTATTATTTTTATATCATTTTATTGAATTGTTCTGTTTTCGGCTAAATTTTGATTTGTGTTTTCCCTGTTCAATTTTGGGCCACCTATTTTTGATTTATTTTCTCTTGATTATACACATACACACGCACACAAGACACACATATATATAAAATAAAAATATGCAAAGGAAACTCTTAATTTTAATTGTCAGTGTTCCCTTCCATTCTTCATTTTAATTTGGGTACTTCCCCTTTCTGTCATAAAAATGATATCTAATTTTAGTGTATCAATTTAGAATGCGTCATTTCAAAATTAATCCTCTTCATAAAAACCTTACGTAATGGTGCATTGCAGAAACCTTTTATCCTATCAGATTAAAGATTTCTATTAAACATTCAAACCTTTTGGACTGCTCTCTCCCACGCTTTCTGACAAATGCTTCACTTCACGCTTTTCGCTTCGCTGTTGCAACTTGCCGCTGCTTGCTCGCTTCAAAAAATATATTTCACAAGTCTATCGGTAAGATGTGAAAGTTCTTTAAAAATAGAACGCTGTAACGTCCATATTGCTTGTGTTGGCTTGACGAAAAATGTGTGTCAATCATGAATAAAAAGGAAAATATTGAATTCGGCCACGTCTAGGCGTTTCTGTTTCTTTAAGCATCCATCGACTACACCTCAACTCTCCCAATTTATTACATGGTGATAAATATTACGGTGTGACGTAGAGGTTTAAATTAATTCGTATTCCAGTAACACGTAACCTCTAGCATTTCACATATCATCTACACTTAGGCATAATGCATGGAACATAACAAAGCACTGCAAGCGCGAAACGGTACACAGTAGCTGATTTCAACAATTTCAAGTATGCGCTTCTTACATTTATGCTATTTAAATAGTTGGCAATAGAAAAAAGAGAGATAGTAGATTGCATTTCTATTTGACAAAAAAAATTGAGAGTGTGAGAAAATCATGCTGCTGATTTAAGATTAAGAACGGTGAAGTAGTTTTATTTACTCATCTTCCCATTTGAAATAGATGATAGAATAGATTTCAACAGATGGACATAGTATAGACTCCCGATCTATAACCTAAATTTACAGTCCAAACTCTGCAACCAGCAGACACCATTTTAGTTTTGACACAAAGTTTCTAAAAGCGATATCGGTGCTCTTTTACCCTAATTCATGGGTCACATTCCGCTAGCGCAGGGGTTCTCAAGCAAGGGGAGGGATTCCTTTCTTAGGGAAAATTTCATAGTTTCAGAGGAAGGAATGTGATCAGCCTTTTATTTAATTGTGAAGTATTTAGTTTTAGTTTATGGATTTAAAAAATACTTTTATTCTGGTTTTGGTATTTTCCTACATTTTTTACATTTTTTTGTTTGTTGTTGTTGTTTAATTTATATTATACTCTAATCTAAATCTTATAAGTCAGTGTGTAGAGCTATTAGGATTCTTTTTGAAGCAGGAGAGATGAAAAATGAGCAATGCCTTCGCCGGAACTCGAACCACGGACCTCTCGAATACGCGCCGAGCGTGCTGACCACTACATTACGAAGGCATGCTAAGAAGGCGGGAGAAATACCTTATAAATGTATAAGTTTTTGTAAAGGAGGAGGAATCATCTAGCTATGGTCAAAGGTGCATGGGGCAAAAATGATTAAAAACCACTACACGAGAAGTTAGATACAGTCATTTTACGTGGCTCTGATTAGCGTAAATGCAGCGAACGCAACATCTAAGTCTTAATCGGGTAGACATCTGACATAATAACTGAAGTCAATGATGTTGTTCCTTCAAACAGAACCAAAAGCTAAGATTCACTGACAAAAGCGGACACAGAGGTATGCGAAGAAATTCATAGCAAAGAGGCCGAAAACACATTGTTTCTTATTTTTAAATGGAAATACGAGTACATAAGATTTCGAGAATCATTAGGCTCATATCCGTGTTCTTTATTCATCACATTGATTGTGTACAATGAAAACGTTCTCAAATAAAACATGTTATTGATGGTGTACTACAACATTAACTGGCTTAATCCTTATATCATTCGAACAGCTACATGTAGAAGAGAGAGAGAGAAAGAAAAAGTATTTTATAAAGTTAGAAAAAGAAATGCTTTCTAGCAGTCACAAGAGGTACATAATAACAGGTAAAGCTATAACGATAAAACCTGCTTGCATTAGAACTTTTATTATATGGAAACCTGCCACAAGAAGAAAACTGTTTACTTATATTACTTTAATATATGTATATTCTCAAAGTTGGATCTTGTGGGAGACAATAAAATAATTAAATTTTTGTATTGGAATCAGGATGAGAGGAAGTAGACCTTAAAAACCAAAATTTTTATGAGAACGGTAATCACGAGAATCATTCTTCAGTCCGTTCATCCAAGATTCATATTTCCAGGTTCTACAGCGTTGTCACTGTGCGTGCATGCCTGAATGTAGCTTTATTTTAAAATTTTCAGCTACGTTGCATATGTTTCTTCGTGCCTTCGTTACCTTTGAAGAGCAATAAGTTTGCTAGAAAGAAGCACATTTTTCCTTTCATATCATTTTTGCAAAATTTCTTTACATACATATAAGAAAAATTAATTTATGTGAAATTTAATTTTACTTAAGAATTAAAACAATTTTGGGGATTCCAAGAGTAATGATTAATTTTGCACAAATGCAGCAACAATTTAATTCATAAATTATTAAAATTATAAAGTAAAATGTTTAGTACCTTCTAACTAGAAATTACCATAAATGAAATAAAACAAAAATATGCAGATATAAAGGCAAGGAATAAATAATTATCTAAAACTGCATCGATAATAGTAGAACCTGAGTGATAAAGTCAATTTAATATTAAGATAAAGAAAGGTTTATTTAACAACCTCGTCCAGTGGCATATCTAGAGAATGGCAGGCAGGGTACGTACTATGAGCACCACTGGGCACCATTTGGTGCACTCTGATCTGGTCTACACCCTTTAGAAAGATTTAGGCTGAATCAGACTTACTTATTTTCTTATTCCCTTAATTAATTATTGTAACGTACTTATTTTATTATTGTAATTTACTTATTTTCTTATTCCCATATTTATTATTTAATTAATTTTAATTGCTTATTTTGTATCATTCAAAATGTTTTTAACATTATTGATTCAATTTTAAATAATTACTTATTCCTTGCCTTGATGTGTATATATTTTTATTTTATTTCATTTATGGTTGTTTCCAATTGGAAAGCATTAAATGAAATGTTATTTTATAATTTTGATAACATATATACATAAACAAGTTAACTTTCTTTTTCATAGTTTTTAATTGCGAATTATCTAATATTTTCTTTTGTATAAGATAATTATGTTCTGGAAGAATAAATTTCCAATGCTTTAAAATCTTAACTATTATTTTTTTTTTAAAAAATCTCTTCATTGTCATGAAACAGAAAATGAGAAATATGTTGTCGAAGGACAAGTTCAAAGTTATCAAAATGATAATCGAATTGGTGACAAACATTAAGGAAGCTTCAATTGAATGCAAGTGCAAGAGAACTCACATTTACTCAGTAATGCAAGGGAAAGATAAAATAATTGAAAATCATGGGATCAACAAAATGTACATGCTAAAAGAGGAAGCAATTCAGTAAATAACAGAAAACTTTAATTTTGAAAGCTTTCCCAAGCTTTTTATTAACAAGTTTCAGCTTTCATACCTAAACGAAGGCAAAATTTATAAAAATGGAAATATTCTGTCTAATTAATGGAAAACTGCATTGAATTTGTAACTGCTATCAGTTGCAGTTTTCTAAAGAGTCGGTTGCTAAAGATGACTATTGCATTATTTATACTATTTCATGAAATTTAAAGAGAGCAGAGGGAATACGTTTCTAAAGACATTAAATACATCGATGTAACTGCTTTTGATACAGTAAAGTGTCTGTACCCCGAAAATGAAAAGCCGATAATATTCTCGGGAGATGTTTTAGAACGATTTGCTTTAGTTTCCTACCCACTTAAGCTGGTGAAAAATTTGTAATAAGCGAAAGATTACAGTGTTTAAAGAAGAGTAAAATCCGTTAACTTCAAGAGGAACAGAAGCGTTATCAAATGTAAAATATTTAATACGGGGAGTTAATTTTCGAAGAGGCTTTGAATAAACTCACCGATATCATATAAAAAAAAATTAAAGGGCCCCCCCTCCCTTGATAGTGATACTTGCAATTAAGAATTTTTGCTGTCTTAAAAGCATTCACCCTCTCCGTTATACATACGATATTGATTCTGTAACTTTTAATGAAGAAACAGTTCAAACTCTAAATTAAATTGTAAGAAATTGTTGCTTCAAAAACATTTGCTAACGTTAAGTCCTGCGCAATAACATCAAAAACTACAGCTAAATCGATAAAATTACCTTACTGAGCAGATCAGCGAAAGTGTTTTTGCTTTAAATTATGAAGTTTCTAATTTGGTACAGCAAATAATTCAGAAATTGAAAGAAATAACAAAACCAATCATTTGATGAAGGTTCGAGACATGAATGATTTCTGAAAATTAAGTCAGTGTCATATTTCGTATTTTTATTTATAATTGCATGGAAACTGATACTTTCAGGACATTGATGATGTATGTAAAGTAACAGTTTACCAGCAGAAAACGCTAACAGATATTTGTTTCAAATATTCTATCATAAAACTTAAACAGACTGAACCTCTAATTTTATATTTCTTTTTTAAGGAAGGAATTTTGCCAAAAAGTTTGGGCAAAACACAGTAGATGAAAGTCTGTATTTGAATAAATCTGTATAAATCGAAATCAGTGGTGCAGGTTTTTCCTCCAAGTCTGCGGAATTAAAAGTTAGAGCTTTTGGCTTTTGTAAATTATTATCAGAGATCAAAAGTTTACTTTTTCAAAAGTTGAAAATCTTGTAAACCACGGAAAAGAAAGTTTCAAACTCCGACCTTGGTTATCATTAATGTAAATATCAACTGACTTAGGTAATTGGCCTTTGCATATAGTGATAAGTTTGGTTTTCGGAAATCAAAAATCACTTTTTAATACGCCGTCAAGAATTTATGAATTTTTCATCCAATTCAATACGAAGAAAGGAAAAAAAAAATTTTTTTTTCTGCGTTTGTACTTTACCTTAAGCCAGTTGTGATCTTTTTTTTTTTTTTTTTCTTTTCCTTTTGATTTGATACTAAAATTTAAACCGTTCTTTCTGGGCATATGTTCTAGGCACCTTTAATTACCTTAATATTACACATTAAAAATTGCTTTCATTTCTTATGAAATTGAATTATTACCTTTCATTGAATACATCGTTTGTAAATATACTTTGCTTTAAAAATAGTCGTTATAGATAGTATTATCCATAAGCAATTGCGGTAAAAATGCGAAAAAAATCTCATTCGGTTCCAATACCTACAAAAGAAAGGGTAAATTGTATGTTAATTATGTTATTTTTAAAAGTATATTTCGAAAATAATGCCGTTATTAGACCATTATTAATAATTAATTTGTAGTAATCTGTTTATCTCTCTGGTGTTATTTCACTACCATTAGAGTGAAATGGATTATTTAGAATACGGCAACGCATTTGAGGTAAACCATTATAAATAACTTATAAATAATTCATTAAATTACTAATCAATAATAAAATTGATTTATTTATTATTTTGGAGTTAATGTTTATATTAAAAATTATTGATTAAAACTAAAGATACGATAGAATTCCTCTTTTTTGAAATTCTCTGCACCTCAAAATTGATTTATTTCCGAGCATTATCTGCCTAAATTCAAAGTATTTTGAAATATATACATCGAATCTTCCATAATCTTTATGCCTTTAACATGGATTGAAGCGTCAACTACAAACTCTAAACTCAACTTCATTCTTTGGCAGCTGCAACTGAGAAATATCTCTTGAATAGCAACACGTCATATGGGCAGTAGAGTATATGCTATGAGCGCTATTCATGCGCATGTAAATGGCAATTCAGGGAGCTGACGCTAAATGTAAAGAATCCAGTATTCGTACGAACTGATAGTTAAATTAATATTCCCTCCACCGACAGGAGCTATTAAGAAACGGGAAATGAAGCGCCTAGGGCCCATTTATACCAACGAAACTTTAAGCGTAGACAACGCGCATGAACTTGACGCTCCCCTAAAGTTAAAAAAAAAAAAAAAAAAAAAAAAAAAAAGTTTGGGCGTGCAATAAATTGAAAAAAAGTAAATTGAGCACCTCTCAATAAATTGAGCACCTCTCAATTTATAACACGAATAAACAGCCTTGAAGATAATGTTTTTAAAAATTTCAAATGAGAAATACTTCTTTAGGCCATGAAAGTAATTCCATTAAAAAGCTGACAAGTTCCCACGCATTTCTTGGGCTCAGAATTCCGCTTAGCACATTTCGAGTATAATTAATGCCTAAAATTTGAAATGTTTGAATAAAAGACAGTGATAAACAAATGTTAAAAGTCTGAACAGGAAAGGAAATAATAAACTTACAAAAAAAATCAATTATAAAGTAAATAAGTTTTAATAAAAAAATAGATGCGCAATAGAACAAAAATAAAATACATTTTGAGTGCACTAATTGCTCAAAAATTGATGATTTAAGCCTGATGTTATTATTTGAATTTGATATATGATGTGATATACTACATACTAAAAGGTAGTATTTATTTTCTAAAAAAAAAAAAAAAAAAAAAAAAAAAAAAAAAAAAAAAAACCTTTTCTGTAAGACATGATTTCTTCCTCGAGTGACGTAACTGGGAGAAAAGCTATTAACATTTTCTCAAAATGGTACGTTTACTACATGGTAAGTGTAAAATTTCCGCTTGTTGCATTTACATTTTCCAATGGTTAACAAGCATATTGTTTGATGATTAATGAAAGTTTTAAATACATAATTATTTATCATATTATATGCTCAATCCGGTAAGAAATTAGCCATTTTGCGGAAGGAAGAATGGTTTTTATGTGCAAGAAAATGAGTGATTTGATAACTTCACCGAGCTTTAACCGAGCTATATGCAAATTGTGTTCGTTGATTTTCGAACAATTCAAAGAACACTAGAGCATGAAGAGGCAAGTTATAAATTTTTACAATTATCTATAATAATGGTATTAAATCTATCTTTAGATTTTAGTAGAATTACCTCATTTCAGAAGGAACCTCCTTGACATAGTTTACCGCAATTCCAGCAACTTTTTAACATTGAAAAATTAGCTGATGTACACAGATTGTTGTACACATCACATGTATTGGTAAATTTTATCCTTAAATTAACTGACGTCATTAGTACATTATTATCCTCGGGGTTATATCAACTTAAAAATTCACAAAATCATTCTTCACGTGAATAGGCATTATTCACATCATAGAAAATATTAGTAGAAGAGAGGTTAAAGATTGACAGTTTAAAGACTGACACGTTAAAAAATTTTCTCAATGTAGAAAATAAAGCTTTAAATATAAATTTTTTGCTTATATCTACCTTAAAGACTCAACAGATTAATGAAATTTCATAAAGTCCATACTAAGTTATAACAGAATCCGAGTTCTAAGGTCGAAAACCAACTAAGCAGAAACATTAAATCAGGGAAAATATCGCATAGAACTCTTGGAGTTTTATTTCAGACCTTAAAAATAAAACTGCTTACAGTATAAAATTTTATATGCTGGAAATTTGGATTTTACTGCAGTTCGAAATACTGAAAAACATAAACAGGCAGTAACTAATAATATGGTGCTGTGACTGAGTGTTGGAAGCCAAGAGTTTGATAGGAGTAAATTCCCCCACTTGGTTTATAAATATCTAGAATCTTTTACATCTGACTATATTCTATCAAAATCTGGCAAATGCAAAAACTGTGCCAGATGAAGCTTTGCTCTATTTCACTCATGCTAATCTAAACCGTCAAAAAAGTGTATCTTTTTTAATTACACTATCTAAAATGAGTTGACTGACCCGAAGTATAGTTGTATCTTCTGAATTCCTTCATATGCTTCATTTCAATACCTTGGCGTACAAAATTTCGGCTTCTTAAAACACCTCTCTGGTTCAATAAATTTAATGTTTATTTTTTGAATTGGCAGTTGAAATGAAAGGTCAGTAGGAAAGGCTTCGACTAGTAAATATTTCTTGGAAAATTTTTGAACAAAAGAATCACAAGCAAACCTTTATCGTGGAAAATAGGCTTCCAAACAAAAACACAGGTTGATAAACAATAACAGTTTTACGTTGTTATTTACTTTGACTTCAACCTCCGTAAAACATTATCTAGGATTATGATTGGCTACTAAGGTCACTCCTTCGAAATGATGCATTCTGATTGGATATTGTTTCCTTATCTCTAAACGGAGACTTTACTGTGTTGCAGAATTCAATGGAAAAAGAGCGAGTGAGTATTGTGAAATTTTCTCTGTGTCTACTCGTTTTTTTTTCTTTTTAAAATTTTGTTATCAGCTGACGCGGGAGTCATATATATTATAGGTCTCTTTGAGCCGCAGGTTACTCTGTCGTGTTATATGTATTTCATTGTTATTCGAAACGAAATATTTTGTTTCTTTTGAGCTTGAACTTCCATGATTAATTATTTAAGCAATCTGCCGTGGTATATATTTATTCTACTTTAATAATATATTTATGTTTTGTTTAGTTTTAAAACTTTAATTGTTCATATCCTTAATGCATTTTATTTTAATATCTTTTAAAAATATACTACCTTACGAATCTCGACTAAAATATTATCTAGTAAATATTGCAGAAGATGACTCTTCCACAACCTGTATTTTATCTTTTAAGCGTTCAGAAATAGCAGATTCACACATGAATATATGCGTGAAAAAAAAAAAAAAACTCTGAATTCTGTGAAACATTTTTCTGTTGATGCTGTATGTGAAAAAGTCGCTATTCTGTTATATTAAATATTTTCATAAGTGGTATAGAATTTCCACTAATTAAATTGCTGTTTTGTAATTATTTTAACTTCAAACTAAAGTAGTATTTTGCGTATAACATAAGATGCAGTTGCATGCAATCTGGAAATTTTTTTTTGTAATTTGTATGAATATGCTAAGAATATTTCAAAACCTCTCATTCTCTCCCCCCTTTCACATTTTCGTTCTCTCTCTCTCTCTTTTTTTTTTTTTTTTTATTTTTTTTTTAATAGCTATTTTTTGATGCAACAGTATCTTTAAAAGTTATATCAATTGCTTATTTAAAATTAATGAGTTCTTTATAAATTAATAAATTTAAACTTAATGAATTTTGTCCATAGTAGTAAATATGTTGGCCGTATCTCAACTGTGATATATAATTGAATAAAAAAAAGGAAGTATATTTTATTAAAGTGCTTGCATCTGTATAATACTGGCTCTAATTTATGGTATATGAAAGCTGATGTATTTTGTCTGTAAATTGCATTGTATTTGATTTTAATCCACATTTAAAATATATACAAAATGCATGTGTAATGATATAATAATACAGAAATAAATCATCTATATTTGAGTTTTGCATTTTTAATTGATTAAGAATTAATTTTAGATTATTCCTTTCATATAAATAGATATTACATTAAAGAGTTTTTTATTTTTAATGTTACATTTATATAACATTAAAAAGTATGAAATTTACTATTTTGCTGCTGAGTATATATAAAAATGAAAACTTCCATTGCAATTTTGCTAAATAAGCTTAAATTACATTTTAAAATTTAGCTATTCATCAAAATTTCAATTAAGGGAAAGTTGTAAGTATCTGTAATGCTTTAAATCTTATAAATTCAGTTTAATTGCTTGCTTGATTACCATATAGAGGTAGATATTAAATTTCTCCATTGCATTTTATAGTTTACTTTCTCATTAAATATTTGAAGTAAAATTTTACATGTTTTTATTTATTTATTATTTTAACTAACTGTAAAATTTATTTTTAAGCTAGAACTCTTTTTATGCTTGTTTTTATTTGTAAATTGTTCTGATTCTTGGCATTCATCAAGGCATTGTAAAAGTACATTGCACTTTAGTTCATGATTGCATAATAAATGCAGATTAGTGTATTGTAAAGTAATTATGGAAAGAAGGAAGTTTTTTTGAACTTCTGCCATGTTCTGTTACACAAATGCTTAAATAAGTTTTCTTCCCTATCACTTTCTGTTTCTTTCACTGAATTCTTAAAATAGAAATTGGCATGATCTAAATTTCTACAAGTCTTAAATTTCCACTCTCCCTTCATGACACAGTTGCTTAATTGCCTCTGTAGTTGTAAGGAATAAGTTATGGTATTAACTTGATCATTGTTTCATCGGTTTGATAAGAGAATTTGTAAAAGTCTTTGACTTTGTAAGAAAATTTCTTCCTTATTGATAAATAAAATTAAGTTCATTGTTCTCATATATTATGTTTTCCCTCTATTATCAAAATTTCTGATTGCTTATTTACTATAATATTTATTTGTTTAGCTTTTATATCCAAGTTAAAATCAGAAAATAAGTAGTTGCTGCCCTTTTCATTTTTAGATTATATTTAATATTCTGAGAAAGATGACAATAATTTAAATAATTTTATGAAAATTATATTTTTTGCTTATCATAAATAGCATTCTTTATGATATTCTTTATTTTGTCATTCTTTAATTAATGTAGATTTTTAAGCATATGTAACTATTAAACATTTCACCTGATTAATAACAGATCTGAAAATTAGCATATAAAATTATATATACTAATGCAGTATCCCTAGACATGTCTGATTATTAGGCTGTAATCTTAAAGTTAATTTTTTTCCATGTTATCGTTTCAGTATACTGTAATTAGTAAAATTTTTCTTCTGGTGGTCATTTCTCTGAATCTAATGATTATAATTAATTTTTATTTTTATCTCTTTCAAGTATTTATTTGTCCAAAGTTATTTACAGCTTCTTTCTTTAATTAAAACAGTTATAACGTATAGATGAACTGTTGAAAAATAATTTTGTTCTATAAATCATCAGAATTAAGTATCTTGTAGTGCTGATTAAGACAAGTTAAATTTTAATTAAATTCAGTTTCTAAATAATACTTTGTTAAATAAAAAGTGTTAACCATCTTTAATTTATTTTCATTAATTATTTATTTCTAATATGTTTCATTTCATTAGTATGAAAAGTACACATGCACAATTTTTTTAACAAAAATTTGTAGAATGAAAAAACAATATATTTGTGTATTTTAAAACCTATTTAAAGTGATATATATATAAGGTGGTATGGTTAAAATTTTATCTGAAGAAAACATAAATTGGATTTAGCTGAAATTTTCTTATGTAATTATGAAACATATCTTTTTAATTATTATTCATAAATCTAAATTTTCTTGACTTACAAATTTATTTGATGGCAAATAAGTATCTTTCTAGTTATTTTAAATATATGAAATTTTTATTATGAAGTACAACTTTAATTCCATGTGACCTCTTTTCAGATTGTTATTATGAACGACGAAAGTCACCGAACAAAACTGAAAAAACATCTAGTCAGTCGTGGAGCTGAAATTCCAGTACACTGGAGTAGTAAAGCTCGGGATATTTTTAATTTGTATAGTAGTATGAGAGTGAGTTGATTTAAGTTCTTCCTTACGGCAGTCATCAATACCAAGCAGCTACCAACAAGTTTAATGTAAGTTATAATTTTTATATGTGCTAAATGGATGTCGTGAGGATTTTATATGATGCACTAAACAGAATTTTATAGATGTATTAAAACGGACCCAATATTATTCTGCTTTCATTTTATATGTGTATTAGGATCATAATTTTATTTTATCATAAAACTGTAAGGAGCAATATAAATGTGTAAAATATCAAAGTATTTAATTTTGCTGGAAAAAAGATTTGCTATGGGATGTTATTTTAGGCAAATAGAAATCCAGATTTTATCTAGAATGTCTTAAGATGTAGAAATAAATTGGAATTTTATGTACCTGATGTGTTTTAGATTTTATCTAGAAGAAATTACTATATTTTTCAGTTTCTGGATTTTAACGCAATGCCTTATTGTATAAAACCTCAAATTTCACTTGGTATCGTGGACTTCCGGTGTTTTCTACTTGATTGTCAGTGCAAGCATTTCTCCAATAAGATTATTCTTTCTAACAGTTTTCAGCACTATCATATTTATAAGATCATTGCATCAAAATCCTTGAAAAATTGTAGAATTCAGTACTTTCTGATTATCTATACCCTCCTGTGAAAAACTGACAACTTGTTGTGACTATTTTTCACCAAGCTTATACTCGAAAGGCAATAGTCATTTTTAAAATTTGAGCACATTTAAGAATTCCATAAAAGACCATAATAAAATAAAATTTAAAAATAACAAGGAACACTTGACTTTTTCAAGAAATACTTAAGCAGTTTATTTTATTTTTGGTGTTTTTGTTGTTCTCCTGTATCTCCTTGGATGTTTTCATTATATATATATATATAAATATTATATATATATATATAAAAACAGAGAATAGCACAAATTTGGCATTGCACACGGTTATTTTTCCCATGTGCCTAAAGATATGTTTTCAATATAAAAGGAAATCAAAGAATTGCAAAAATTTCAGTCCATAGTCATTTTAGAAGTCAATGGAATGCAAATTCTTTCATTCTCTACTGTTGGACAAAAGTCCAAATTTCTGAAGAAATGCTACACTTTTTCATTAGCCGCCAAACTCTTCAATTCACTTACAGTTCCTTACACGGACAAAAAATCTTGATGCAAAAACAAACACTAATCAGAAAAAATGACTGTCAAATTGTAGCTGGGAAATTCTGGACTCATCTATTGCTACATGCATATGCTTTTCTGGATTGACATATAAATACATTTTGGCCACATAGTGCAAGACTTCGTGAATACTTTTGAGTTATTGACTAAATCCATGAAAAACACAATGTTGTTGCTTTGCTAATTTTACTTTTCAAGAAGTTGTGGATAATCAAAAATAATTGAGAATTCTTAAATTATCATTCACACATATTCTTGCACATAACCTGTGTGAATAGATGGAATGCCAAGAAAAAGGAAACTTACATAGCAGGAAAAGAATATTTTACATAGTTTTGCAAGAAATCCTAATCTGCTCAAAATCTTCATTTTAGATTGCATTATCATCAACTGTGCAAAAATCTAAAGAACTTCTGATTTCCCTTAGTAAATTTTCATAGATGCTGAAATCAATATTTGCCGTCACATCCATTTTCTGTTCACTTGCAAAAATTAAATTGCAAAGATTTCAGTATCACAGCAATCAGATTAAAACAATAAATTAATTAGTCAATTTTACTAATATTACATACTGCTGACTTTATTATAAATATAATTATTATTATCCTCAAAGTGATTAGAGTCTCTTAAGTGATTTGAAACTCTTAATAATTGTAATTAGTGTATGTATCAAAATGAATGTGAACAGAGTTATGATTGAATATGAAAATGAGTGATAAGTTATTTTGTTAATTGAATATTTTAACTGTAAAATATTTTATCAGATGACACTTGTAAGTTTATTTTTTATTACTTTAAATGTCCATTTCACTTTTCAAATTGTTGCCACCAAATATTATCACCTTGTGTTATATTTAAAGAAATTAAATAATGAAGAATCTGCATAAATGCATATATGTTTCTTGCATAGTGATAAAACAACGGTACCTATAGCCATCAAATTTTGAAAAACGTAATCCTGCACCGAATATGGGCATTTGGAAGCTGTAATTTGGAATCTGGAATTTGTTTTATTATTGATTTCATATTTTGTAACGCTTGAACGAATTTTTTATTAACAAACTCGATGCTTTCAAAGTGAGCAATGGCAACACTGTACGAAAAAAGCATTTTTATCTCCAGTGCACGAGATTGTGTATTGGAAATTCTAAAGTTATGCTCATTTTAAAATTATTTTGTGATATTTTTGTTGGATTGAATTTGGTTTAAGTGCAAAGGACATGATATGCAATTTAGGTAACACATAAAACATTAAAAAAATGCTCATTTGGGCATAATGTAAAATCTGAAAGCTTTCAGATTTTTTTAGGCGTGTTTTTAATTTATGTATTTTTTGTTTTCAGTTACTACAACAATAGGAATTGTGAGTTTCTTCATATCTTAAAATTTTTAAAAGAATTTGAGCAGAATGGTTGGTTTGCCAGCTCTACGTCAAGAGCCTTCTGTGGGTGTGAAATTTGTAAGTGCCGGAACTGCTGCATGTATTGCAGACATCATAACATTTCCTCTGGATGTTGCAAAAGTGAGATTACAGGTAACAAAAAGACTATGAATTGTTCATTATTTCTTCTGCGTAAAGATGTTTCACAGATGTCATAAAATGAGATTTTACTAAAATATTTCCATGTTAAGCAAAACTATAATGCAATCTCCCTGTCATTTTTCTCATTCAAAAAATGTCTTTTTTCCCATTTCTCTCCCTTTTATTTATTTATTTTGTGTGTGTGTATGTGTGTTTTTGTAAAGTGGAATTTCTGAGTTATAGTCATTTGAATATGATGCTTTGTTCTGGGTACTTACGTATTAACGCAACCAGGCCAAAATTCGCATAAATCGCCAAATTTGGCGATCCTACTTACGGCAACCCTACGTGTTATACATAGTTTTTCGTAAAGAAATTATTTTTCTTACTTGTTAGATTGAATGCCCTGAAATACTTTAATTGCTTTTTTGAAGAAGTACTTTTTTGGTTACTGTACCTAACAGAAGCGCCGTTACCCTCATGGAAAAAATTTGCGAAAATATCAAGGAATGAAGCATCATTTATTCGGGTTGCTGAAAGGATACAAGGTACTTGCGTATTATCGCAACCAGGTTGGCGCTATTTGTAAGTTTGAGTAAAAAAGTATGAATAGAAAGAAAATGTACATTTATTAATTACAGATAATTTTTAATACAGTTTTTTTATATTATTTTGTTTTAAAATATAAAATAGCAATTAAACCCTTCCGGTTTCGAATTTGAATAAGTTGCAGAATTATTTTTTCGGCGGAAATCTTTTGGCTGTTGCTTTTAGCACTGATTGAAAACCGTTTTCGCCATTAACAGCTTGAGGTTGGCGCCATATAAATTCGATAAGGTATGAGTCAAAATGATGACGGTCTGTTCCTCTCTGTTTTTTTGTTGCGCCATTTGGCTGAGCCCCATATGCGCTCTACATGTTGTGTGTGAACGCCCGTGTTGGGATCCACAAAGTTATATTTGTGATTAACAGTTCCATGCAGAAATCCAGCATTTTCGAACTCATCCTTTCCAGCAATCCGAATAAATGATGCTTCCTTCCTTGATATTTTCGCAAATTTTTTCCATGAGGGTAACGGCACTTCTGTTAGGTACAGTAACCAAAAAAGTCCTTCTTTTCTCTTTAAATTCCGCCGAAAACCCATTGCTGTGGTAGTACACGCCCAGTGTTATTTTTTTTTTTTTTACAAATAAACTTTCGTCTATTTCCACACACGTAGGGTTGCTGTAAGTAGGGTCGCCAAATTTGTCGATTTATGCGAATTTTGGCCTGGTTGCGTTAATATGCAAGTACCTTGTTTGGTAATAGGCTGAAGATTTCGTATATTTCCAATTTATGAGCTATACATTTATAGTAAACTTTCGTGTTGGCCTGAGAAGTTTAATTTCTTTTCAATAACATTACTGCTTAAAAAAAAAAAAAAATAATAAAAAAAAAAAAAATTGTAAAGTTTCTGAAATTTGAGAGAGTTTACTATATTTGTAATTTAACAATTGGCAAAACTCGGGCATTATTTGATATTGATTTTAAGGGAAGCCACCAATGCATATTAGAAAGTCATGCAATAAATGCATCATTGAACATCTTCAAATAGCATTAAATCTTTTCATTTAAAATCAATATACAAAATTAAATATTAGTTATTAAAAGGATGAATTCAATTCACACATCCACTTTATAAATTTATTTATAATTCTTTCCATATTATTTAGTATCTGTGTTACTGTTAACATTATTCTGAAGTTTGATGTCTTTTACAGATACAAGGTGAAGGTACTGTACCTGTCAAATCACATCTTGTCAAGGCTGGCCTTTCATCTAATAAAGGCATGTTTGGAATGATAGTTCATATTGTGAAAAAAGAAGGTCCAAAAAGCTTGTATAATGGCCTTTGTGCAGGCCTGCAGCGACAAATGTGTTTTGCTTCAGTGCGAATAGGATTGTATGATTCTGTGAAGAATCATTACAGTGCTTTAGGTTTGTTTATATACTATATTTCTGTAGTAGAGTTTTTTGTGTTGTAATAACTTCATAAAGAAGTAGTGTATGAAAAGTTCATATTTTTTCAATATTTAAAAAGCAGTGACTGTATGAATGAAGTAATTTCTTTAACAGCCGTTTACTATAATATAATTTTCTACTTCTAATTAACTGTTTTCACATTATACTTCATAGAATTATCAAAATGGTGTAATATAATAAAAACTGTAGTTTCCTTAACACTTCAAGTGTAATATAATACAAACTGAAGTCTCTTATCCATGTTAGGTTAAATTATATGCATAATACCATAATTCCATATGATCTAAAATAGCAATATACCAAATCTGCAGAAAATCTACATGAATACTGTATAATACATGTTCTCACATGGGTAGTATGAATTCTGCTAAAATATGTTAAAGATTAGGAAGATGCCACACGTACTGATATAATTTGAAACAACTGTGGAATTTTATGACAGCTATTCACTATAAAATAATAAAAGATAATTTCAAAGAAAGTTTTAAAATAAATAAGATGTATTACAAACTTTCATTTTAACCTCCTAAAGTAAGATAAAACATCCTTGCCAAAGAAGGAATTATGTTGAGATGAACGCTTACAGGAATACACTTACTAGAATATCATGGGTTTTTTTTTTTTTTTTTTTTTTTTTTTTTTTACTTTAAACAATTGCACATATTATATGTATAATACATGTTCCAAAATAAATATAAATGGCAATACATTTTCCCCTCATTTTTAAGTACCATTGAATTTAATAAGATGTTTAAAGGAAACTTTAACATTATAATAGACTGTATATAACAATATAATCCATAAAAATCTCCATAACTGCGTATTTAATCCAAATTCATTGCAGTCTTTCATTTTATTTAGTGTAGCAAAAGCTTGTGGATGTCAGAGGTTTGAACCAAAAGTTTGAGGCATATTTTTGGTTGATTTCTTCTTATCTTTGAACATTATTAAAAAAGGAGCATTTATATTAGCAACTGTGATTTAAAACATCATGTAAAATAATTAGTGTACTTACTGTAGCAAATCATTATGGAAATGATAAAAGGTTTCTAACTCTTTTTAAATTTTGATCTTCTATCAGCCCTTTCCTATTTTAAATGTGATTTTTTGGTTATTTCAGAACCATATTTTTGTGTATTTTAGATGAACTTTT